TTTATTACTCCATGAGTCCTACCTCTGATCGAGAGAGTAATCTAATTGTCTTGTGTGCTCTCTGAATGGATGCCCCCATCTCGTGCCTCCGGCCTGTGACCCCAAACTTTGAAACGAAAACCCAGATCACAGAAGCAGCACCGTCCTTCGGATGTTCTTCGCATCCGGCTTCGGCATGGCACTGCAAGCGATGCCCCGAAACACAGCCGGGGCACACAAGTCAAGGCAGCAACCGTCTGTCACTGCCGTCGAGCAAAACACTCAGGACGACAAACGGTGATCAGCACAGCTTCAGGCTTCAATCTATCTGCAAGAACACATGTCAAGCAACTGCGTGCTCTGTTTGCCCGCGACCCCAGGAACTTGCTGATCCAGCGGCTCGCCGCCGCTGCCGAGAAGCCAGGGCTTTGCTGCTGAGTCGGTCCGTCTGAACTCTTAGGACTTAGGCTCCTATAGGATACTTTAGTCCTGGACTGTTGACCCAAAAAGCAGCAGCCCGAACCCGGTGCATCGAATTTCCTATTTGCACCCCAGCCCCTTTTGCGGATACAATGGAAGCTTTGGCTTGCTGTTGCTCTATGCTAAGTAGTTGAGAACCCTCTTTGAGAAGTAGTTAGCCAGGGAAGGGCAGCGAAGCTTACCGGATTGCCACCACAACACAGTCAGCACTTGCAGCCCAGGGAACCCTTGCTGAACCAAGTTGCAACCCCCCGATAGCCAAGTTTCGATCAGAATAGTCGTGGTGGCAAAGCCGGCCCAAATAACTCATCGATTGCAAATCACAAACATAGGGCACCTGAGACCGAAGCTGAAGCGGGCTGAAAAAGTGGCTCGGATTCGCTACACATTGGGAGCCAGCTCCTTGATGTCCAAGGCACAAATCTAGATCCGTTGTAACCAACGAGATGAAGTCAAAATCCTCCGGATCTTTGCATCGCCATATCGTTGCTTGATGCCGCCATCTAGACGAGGAGCTCCCATCCCTGCGAGCGAAATGCAATGATACAGGACCACGGAGTCAAAGACAATGTGAAAACTGATGCACCCAACTCAAAGGAAACGTACATCTTCCAAGCTCTGAAGCACTCAACTTCCACAACCCCGGCCTCGCCGCTCGTGACTGCAGCAGTCGCCGTTGGCGCCGTAGGTGCTGTAGCCTTCGGACAAGTTTTGATATTATTCAGCAAAGCACAGAATGGTAAATTCACAGTGGCATCGAAGGATGTGTGCAGGCGTGGCACCACTGGCACTGGCATCGGAGCAATCGGTCGGGTCACAAACAGATCGCCCTCCTGACGAGGCTGAGATGAGCAAGGTTTTTATCTCTGAATCAATGGGTCAAGGGATGTCTCATATGCGGAATTAAAATGAACTCGGCCTCGAAGTTCATCTCCACCCGCGGGGATTTGAACAGCACTTGTCCAATCTCGGTGACCAAGAAGCAGGAGTCGATGTCCTCAGAAAAATGGGCGAATCAGGAACATTCCTTAGAGCGGCCTTGTGCAAACACTCCTGTCTTGTTCCGGGCCTGCTCAATCATATCATGAGCAATCCTGTCGAACATCCGCGGAATGTTCGCAGTCAGCAGCTCGTTGACAGTCCGTCGATGTCGGAGCAGAATCACCTCCACGACCTCATCACACACCCAGTGCATTGCATCATCCAGGCACCAACCCCAAAGCACAAGCCACTGGACAGCTGCAGACATGCTAAGGCGAGCAGACATAAAGGCTAGTGGCTCCATAAACATAAGTGCCCGTGATCTCGTCGGTGGTGTGGCGTCGATATGGAAATGCAGCATTCACTCGCCGGTGGCTTCGTGCCGTGAACCTGAGGAAAGCGGAACATCAAGAAAGTACAACACTGATTTCAAGCGGGGCTTCAATTATGCAATCGGGCAGCAGTGGCCCCAGGTTCCTCGCCATGTGCTTTGCACCATTGATGACAAGCTTGTCAGTTCCGCATAGAACAGTCGGTGTCCTGGGATATCGAATCAATCCGTAATGTGTGGCACGAATGCCACAGGAAAGACCTCAAACTCCAACCCAACCACTGCAAACCAAGCAGCTGCTTCGTGGCTCCAAAAGAGGACATCGTGAATATCGATGTCTCAAAGGATAGCTGCTTTGCAACCTCCTGAATGAAATCGCCCGTGATTCAAACCAACTCTTAGAGATATGTACGAGTGTGCAGTAGCTCTGTCCTTGAAGCAGTTGTGCTGCTGCAGCTCACAGAAGCGATCGTACTTCAAATGCAGGATGACTCGCACTTTCATCGTGTAGCAAAGCTTTAGCAGTTCGCTGAGGAAGCCCTCAGCTGAGTAAAGAAAACACAAAACACAAAACAAACATGAACGGTATTGGCCAACATGGAGCAAAGAATCGACCAGCTCTGGCATCGATCCTCGTTCTTCTCTGGAGCGGAAAGGCCTCAGAGAAGAAATACCGTGAATGGTTTCCGAAGCGACCCTGCGAGATCCGATAATGCATCGAGGCACATGCAGTAGAAAAGGCCGCCCGGGAAGACTCGTGTGCACATCTGCAAACCTCAGAGAATTCCCAAGGATCTAATGTTTCAGTGAGACAGAACAAACAGCCCACAAACGACCTGAAACCTCAAGATTTGCAAGCGGGAGGCAAAGATCCTGGCCTTCCTGGGTGCAAAGCCCCTCGCCGGCTCTCGTTTCAGAGAGCTGTGCACACGAAATGTTCTCCTGGGCGGACGAATGGAGTGCGAACCGCGAATATTAGCGACCCCAAGCATTTAATGAACTGTCATACAGCAACAAACTCAGCAGAGCACCGACTCAAGCGCCCGACACAAGCTCGAAGAGGAGTAGTCCAAAGCATGGATGAACCTTTCCCTCCTCATGCAGCTCGATCCCGGGACGAAGAAGCCCTCATTCAAGAGCCACGGAGCGACCTTCTCCGCTCGCTTTTCGAAGGCCGAGGAGAACATTGCAAAATGCAATGAATGGATGCTATGTCTGCCCAATGATCTGTCCGTCTGAAATGTAGGATGTGAAGCTGCTGTGAAATGCCTCTGATTTTGCCTCTTGAAGTCGGATGCCTCTGATCTGTCAGTGTTTCTCATGCCAACCAATGTAGCAATGTATGCGAAAACAACTCAACGAGCCAGCACGCATTTCCGTTAGAAACACGTTGCCTGAGCTAGCATGCGATTCGAGATCTCTGAACAAACCTACCTAGATTCCTAATAGTTTGTTGGTTCTTTGACCCCCTAAACTGTTTTACGTGGCCTTCATGCGACCGTTGCCCCAAACTACTGAGATCTCGAACATCCCTAAAATTGCTTCGTCGCATGATATCTTTGATCTTTGTCGTCTGTGGGTGCTTCTGTGCGCCTGGCTGGAGGCAAAGCAGTAGTTGAGGGCTGCTCCGGATTATATGCACCCGAACCCTTGTTTAGAATATGCACCCGAACCCTACGCCTTAAACCCTAAGCCCTAAACCCTTGTCAAGCCACTAGGTTTAGAATATGCACCCGAACCCTACGCCTTAAACCCTAAGCCCTAAACCCTGGTAAAGCCACTAGGTTTAGAATATGCACCCGAACCCTACGCCTTAAACCCGAAGCCCTAAACCCTTGTAAAGCCACTAGGTTTAGAATATGCACCCGAACCAAATGCATACCTGCGCTCTGGTGAGAAAAGAATCCGTTTCTAAAACTCATGTTTTCTTTCTGCTTTCCCCAATACAAACACACTCGGTCCGAGTTTGCCTGCAGGGAGTGAGTTGGATACAGCTTGACGGCCGCAAGTGCGTAAAGTGCAAACCACTATGCAACAACACGCTCGCTGAGGTGAGCATCTAAACAGTATATCATCGATACCAAACCCTCACGCATCTAAATAAATATATATATATATATATATGTACACACACATATCTATCGTGGTTTCGGGTTAAGAACGCCCACATTGCAACCAACATCACTTTCCAACCTGCATGGCTGCCGTAAAGGATGATGCTAGAGATTCTAGGCTTTGACGTTATCAGTTAATAGGGTTGTTAAGAAGCTTTCCCAACCGGTTGCAAAGTGGGGATTCCGGAAAGGCTCATGGGTTGTAAAGTGGGGGTTCTGGTTGTGAAGTGGGGATTGTGGTTGTAAAGCGGGGTACACGCGGGGAGGGGGGGCCTAGCAGCGCTGCACCATATATATATATATATGTGATGCAGGGCTGCCACCCCCCCCCGACCCCATGGTATCCTCCCCCCTTCCCCCCCCGCCCCCTCTGTGGTGTGGGGCCTGTGGTGGTATATGGTGGTATTCTTTTTGCCGCGACGTTCTTATGTGATACTCCTTGTCTTCCCTCTTGCTGTGGCACCGGTGATACTGCTCATGATGTTGTGCTGCTCTAGACATGAGTCGACCATCAGACCATGCTCAACATCATCCTTGTCGTCGTCATCTTCATCATTTATACCATCAAAAGAATATCTACCACCATCACGTCGCCATACAACCCTCATTATTCAGCATTGCAATTCATGTCAGATGCTGGAAACTACTGCGCCGATTGCCGCTTTCCGCACACGGCAGGGCATAGTGCGACACCCCGATCCGCGCATCAGGTGAAGGGGGTGGGCAAGTGCGGGCTGGGGGCGGGCCGGTGCGGGCGGGGCGGGCGGGCGTGCAGCGGCAGGGCAGCAGGGGGGCGGGGGGGGGGGGGGCGGCCCGGGATCCACCCGTGAGCATACATGCACATCTACACCTACATCTACCTTTAGATCTACAACGAACGCTGTTCACCACTCACCGTACAGCATATTGAGTACAACATATGAGTACAAGACGCACTATGCACTACAGTATGCAGTCTACAATGATGCCGCACACAATGCACACTGTACAAGAATACACTGCGCAATGTACAAGACGCCATGTACAATAAAAAGATGCAGCATACACAGTTTAAGATATATATATATATATATATAGTATACAACTTACAACACTTACAACATACACCAAACAACGAAGACCCAACATCTGCAATATGTAAGTTATGATATGTGTACAGCATGGAGAGTACAATGTAATCGACAAGTTACTGATGCAGTGCGCAACATGAGACGTCATGTGCACGTGTATACATGCACATACCGATACAAATCTGCACATGCATTATTTCAAGTACACATAGACATTTGCATAGACACATGACAAGCACGACTGTAAATCTACAGATAATCTTATATCATCATGCAATCACCATGCAAATGCACATTCAGCTCTACAAGCAATCATATACATTGACGTCTACATCTACATCCAAGACACACATGCATATATGTATATATGATATAACCGACATTGTATATATATATATATATATATATATATATATATGTATATATATATATATATATATGTGTGTGTGCACATACGTAAAAGTAGCTCTGCTTGCGTCTGTGCGGACAATCGCTACTGTTGCCTTATGCCAGTATGTTGGCGATCAGCGTGACACATGGATAAAACACTTGTCAATGTTCGCAAAACAACTGACCTGTGTCAGGCACAAAGCACTGATGATTTCCTAGCATCGTAGAAACAACATCAAATTCCACTGGAAGGCAGAATGACGTGACATGCTCATCATATTGCTACAATACTGCAGAAAATCACTGGTCCGTGACAGCAGACTGTGCAAGAGCAAGCATTCGACACTAACGCACGCAAAGCAAAGGGATGAACAAGTATTGGAAACGAAGAAGCACAGGACGAAATTCACAAGGATTGAGACTGAAAGAAGCAGCGCTCTCATCAAGAATGACAGGCAGACGAAAAGGAAAGAGTGGAAAGGGATGCTTTTTGTCTTGTGAGGCGACACTATGCAGCCGCCGTTTCTGCAGTGGAGAAGGTCCTACTGTAACAGCAGGCTTTCGGTACTGCATGCAGTAAACCACAACTGAGACGAAGATACAAGATGGTGCGAGGATTGGTTCGATGACGGATGAGTCGGAGCCTGAGATGAGAGCTGGAATGAACATGGCGGACGCTGGTCGAATGAAGAATCAATACGACGAACGGTACGGAGACGAGTGGAAATGCTCGATCGGTTGAAATGATTGGAGCGCAGCCGCAATGTCTCAAACGCAAATGCGACTCTGGACGCAGCAAAGACTGGGTCGATGTTCAGTGGTCTTTCTGTCTGTCTGCCTGTCTGACTGTCAGTGACCGGCGGGGAAGCACGTCTCTGTGCATATGTCTGTCATCTACGTGCTAAAGCGGCCGGTTGGCAGCAACTGATGCAATGTCCTCGACGAGCGCAGCATGTTTTTCTCCATATGCTAGCATGTGTATCGCTTCAAAAACTTCGCAACGAAACCCAGCGCTGGGACTAAGCTATCTCCTACTGCATGCGGGTCTCTGCAAACGACCTCAAGGGTCCGCACAATCAAAATTATTTGCGAATTCTGGACACGAAGTCCCACTAAAACTACGGAACGCTTGTGAAGGCAGCGCATAGGAACGGGCACAGCAAGCGGCTTGGGCTTCTGCCTTTGCCGCTATGCACGACTGCCTGATTGGAAGATAAGCACCTGGACGCCACCGACATAGCACTTCGAGGCTTGCGTAAACAAGATGGCCTCACGGCCGATCTGATATCACCTTTGGGGAGCCGGCAGAAATGTCACTTGAGCTGCAGCCAGACGAGACCACAAGCTGGCTGACTGCACTCGCGACAACTATCCTGGCCGAAAGAGCAACCATGACTGCGGCTTAGCTTTTCTTCTAGCTGGTCCCTCCTGCTTTACATTCACATCGCTATCAAGACACCTGCAAACACAGGAGTCCTGGCTATGAGTCTCAACACCGACTCCTGCTGCATGCTTCTGCTTTCATCACTCCTGACTCATTATTAATATTCGTTACTCAGAGCAACTACGGTGCAAAGCCAGTCTGCAAACTATTTCAAATTTCTGCTTGCAGCATAGACACGGGTACAACGCACACTGCTGCCGGCTATTGCTGCTTCCTCTTCAACTGCGCCTCGCAAGTAACAAGCTCGTCCGACAGGTTCAATTGTTGGCATGTTGTGTGCTGGACGGCACATCCTGTGCAGAGCAATCCAGTCTCGATACACTGCTCAACCCCGAGGTGTACGGTCCACACCATGGCAATGCACGTGTACGACCGAAGGTTGGATCGGTGATTGCAGTCACCAAATTCTAGACAGTCGTGCCCGTGCCGGTTGGAGAAAACTTGGACAGGCGTCCATCTAATTCGAGGTTTCCTTGGCAACTCGCCTGCCACTTATCCACTTCTTTTGCGAGTTGATGATCGGGGTGATCAAGCAATGGAAGACATGGAAGACAGGTGCATGATGCACTGTACGTCGCAAGTGTCGATTCGTTCTATTGGTTCCCCGTATGTTCGAGAGCATACGACAGGCTCGTGTTGAGGGCAACGCATCACTCTATCAGCTCAACATCTCAGCTGCAAATGAGGCCAGCCAATGCATTCCAGCTTTGTTTGGGGAACTTTCGTGGTCATGTTGGATGAAAAGACGGATTTGCACACCCACTGTTTAAGAACCTGGACGAGAGCTCTACAGATGGAAGTTGCACAAAAAGCCTTGCCAAGCACGAGCGGTTTTGTACATGTCGTTCGAGGTGGCAAAGGCCCGGAATACCTCATCACAAGCACACGACTCTAATCGCAGCATGTATGCCAATCCTCTTCATAAGCTTGACGAGCTAAGATCCTGGCGTGGCCATGTCCCGATGGAATATGTTCATTGTGTGCCTTTTGGGCAGACTCAGCCTCTGTAAATGCTGTTGTCGCGGCGCTCATAATGATCACGGCTCGTCCGTGAGAGGATTTATCCTTCAATTGCTCACCTTAGCTTCCTAGACTGGCATGCTACGCACATCTGCTAGTCTTCAGCGCCGGCAGTTTCGCAGCAAGTCTCGGGACAGCACGCAGTGACCCCAAAGGCACCCGGGCAGATGTGATGCTCTTTCGAGCAATCTTCTCGACCCCATGATGATCAAAGAAAGGACTGAGGCGCAGAGCATAAGCTGCTTGCCTTCAACAAAAAATGCTGACACAAGGGTAGAGTGCATGACGTCCCTATCAAGAGTTTACCTTGTCGTAGCTCAGGTCTGAGCAGATCTTCGAGAAGAGCAGGAAACTCTGTCCGCGTCATGGTCTCCTCGGGCTCTCCAAGGATGCCAAGCAAGACGACTCCTGTCATGCGTAAGGTTGTCAGGCTCAGACCATTGGGGGTGTTTGTCTGTCATGTACAACACCAGTCAGTCTTGGGGCGGCATTGTGTAGCTGCCTGTCCTGCAGCCCCCAGGTCCATCGCACTTTGAATGTGTGCGAAAACAGTGTGGACATAGTGCCCATACCAACTGTGCTGACGAACATCAGCATCTTCATCACCATCCTGCGCGCGGCTTGCTGCTGGACTTTCAGGAAAGACTGTCACACATCCGAATACCTTTGAGAAGCTGTGACGGCTCGAGGGAGCCACGAGCGTCGAAAAAGTGATGCGCAATGAATTAGTTAAAGCTCGGTAAACAAAAAGTTCGGAACAAGAGAGGCAGTCGCAGCGGTCAGGAGGGACAAAGGCGACAAGGGAGCACGGATGCAGCAGCCGGACAGCGGAAGCACCAGAGTGATGACGACGTAGCCAACATGAACTTGAACATAATGACACAATGCCTGCTTCTTCTGTTATTACGCGACCACCATAGTTGGGTTTTACATTCGGTCATGTGCAGCATCATTGTTTCTTGCCTTCTACTTCGGATGCTTGCTGTGTTCTGTCCGCCCCACACACACTTCTTGCCAAGGCAACCGTCAAAATCCGTGAAGCTGAACTTATTCGCGATGGGACTGCATCTGTACGACACTCACAAGCACAGACGGCTCGCCTGTGGACAGCCTTGGCCCATCTGATGTCCTGGTACCTGCCATTGACATTCAATAGAGTCGAAAGCGAAATCCTGCCTGCAGGTAGTACCCGTACTATGGATCAATGTGTTTTTGCTTTCTGCCAACTCGCAATGGACGTATGTGACTGACGTGACTGTATTGCTATTGCAGCCATGACACGTCAAGAGCGAAGAAGTTGCCAAGAAAGCTGCATCCACATAGCCTGCCACGCACTACAGTTCAATCGCTCATTGGAGCAGTGCTGTAGGAAATACAACTGCGACAACTGTATGTCACTCAGATCCGACGATCGAAGGCTGCCAGCTGAGGGTTTGTCAGTGATGAAGCAGCTCGAATCTTCAACAGGGTCTCATGAGAGGGATAGTATGGCACTTGCAAGTTGAGCCGTCGAAGAGATGAGGAAACCCGAAATCTGAGTCCGAAACTCCACACCGAACTTGCAGATGCTACAGAACCTATGATTCCTGAGTTGAACGGTCCCAATCAACATACTCACTGGCCCTGCACTGCCTGTCCCATTTCTCCTCCCTATCTGAGTAACAGAAGGCGATGAGGCCCGCATCCGCACCTCATCTCACGGTCAAGGAGGCTGGAGGAAGAATGCAGTCTCAGCCTAAGTCAACCTGCTACAAGCTGCATGTGCAGAAGCACTGCCAGAGTTCCATGGGGCCAGCAAGCATGCGCAAAGACTTCACTGCCTGGAGGCCTGGAAGCGCATGCAAACGATAGCTCAAGGCTCGGACCTTTGCGACCACCGGGTATGTGCTGGAAGGGGAGCGCTTTTGGTGCGGGATGTGCGCGGGCGGTGGGAAGTCCCACCAAATTTGGCCCCTGAGGACTGACGGATGCTGGAACGTCGGACTGCAGCTGAAAGCAAGAACAGTTGGTAACATTGGAGCCGTCGAGCTGAAAGCCCAGCTTCGTCGAATTATGAGCCAGATCAGGAAACAGCCAAACATGTCATGAGAGCACCCTGAAGTGAATGCACATGCGCCGGGTGACGCAAGGATTCTCCAGATCTTGCTCCTGTCGCGGCTGCTTTCGACGACAGCACCGGAGGCGCCCCAACCTTTGGCAAATCCTGTTCAGGAGACCTTTCCCCATGCTTGGATACAATGAAAAGGTATTTGGGGAGACCCGCGCCTGCTTGAGCCAACCAAGGAAGCTGCAAATGCAACAGATGCACTTTGCATCCCGTTCCTGAAACAACGAAGTTTTTGCGAGGCTACAGCACGCACGCGAACACATCACAATATGTCATGCCGCGCTTTTGGTTCATGATGGTTCATGCAACGCTGAAAGCCCCCTTGCCAAAGTCCAGGGGTCATCGCGTGGCATATCGACATTTCAGGGAACAAAGACAGGACATGATGGGGTTCCAGAATGCTGGATCACTCCTCTCAGTCCAAACGCTCCATCAATGGCATCGAATCATCTGGATTGCCGTCCTGTCCGTGGCAGCTGACACATTCATGAAGGCACGAAGCAGCACCGACAAACCTTGCAGCATCTTGCAAGACTTTCACATGATCCCATGATTCCCATGATGTCGGCGAGGCCTCAACAACGACAAGATGAGCGCAAAGCCCAGTCGCCCCAGCCGCAGTTGCGCAACATGTATCATGAATCAGCAACTTCGTCGGCCCTGCACTGCCTTACCGATGTAGTGTAAAACTTCTCTCTCACCTTCCTAAGTGCCCGAGCCTCGTCAACATCCATGCTTGCGATGTTGCTTCCCACCTGTTGCCAAGCAACAATTCCCGTTCGACGAGCTGATTTTACGCGTGCAGGACGAGACAAGAGCATGCAGATTTCGGCTCGGGCTGCCCACCTGAGCGAAAACTTCAGAAAGTTGTTCTTAGCTCTCGCTGCATGCCATGATTCAAAGCCGTGACCTCGGTGACGTCTTAAACAGAGGCCATGGGAAACATCAAGCGACTCAGACAGTGGAGCAAATCGCAGGATTGCGGCGAGGCTGCTGCTTTCAGTACCACATTTTGCCACACCTACCATGAGTTTTGGCCGCTGAGAAGACCAGCAACACACAACATGTCTTGCAGCAGGCCTCGTCGACCTTTCCCGTCTCCAAATCAACATGGTCCTGAATCCAAGCCTGACTCTGCAGCGAGTGCAAAATCTAAACGCCAGCAATCGGTAAAACGGTCTGAGCCGGAAACTAAACGCAACAAGTTGCTTGGGGACCCGTTTGCCGGGGTGCCGTCCAGGGCTTGAAAGAGCGCATCTGCTCGCGTATGAGCATGAGCTGGAGGCCCAGCCAATTCTGACCATCTCCATGGAAATTGTCAGACCTCATGCAGTGATGAGCATGCACGTGTCTGGCGGAACGAAGGTTGCGGGCTCTCTGTTTCTGAATGCTTGGAAGTAATCAGGGCTGCCACGCGATAACCCTCAACGACAGACACTCAATCGGCAGAAGTCACGTGCGTCGATACATCGCATACGTGGTTCGGCTGTCCGCCGCAATCACGAGCTGCGTGGCCAGATTCAGGCTTTGAGGTTCAGGCGTCATGCCACTTAGATACTGCAAAGGCCTACGTTGGTGGTAGAGCCGCCAGAGTCATCTGCATGTCGCAGAAGCCGTCTGTACTATCCAGGTCTTGGGGATGCTTCAAATGCTTTCCTGGGTGCTACCACAATAGCCAGTCAACACCCAAACATTTGTCGCAAATTCAGGCGTGCTGCCAAATCTTGTCACGACCGGCCCTGGCATTGTGCTCCAACAAGTAGGCATTGCCTGTCATCTCAAGCCGCTCTGCCATCCCACTGCCTGGTCGAAACCTGGATTCCATGGAGCAAACCCGACGAGGTTGGCAACAACGAAGGCATGCAGGCTTCAAAATCGCAGGGTTGCCACTTGCTGAATCAGCCGGCCACTCAAGGACTGCATGACAATCTGACATAGACTGGCCCCCACCTTCGTAGCGAAAGATTGTCACTTGAAAACACTTGCGGGCAAGAGACTTCGCTCGAAGGACGTGGAGCATTCCCTTCCAGTTGCTGCCACATCCCGCATACTCAAAGTCCTCTTCCCCTGGCAGTCTGTGGAACAAAGCAGAGGCACACAGCCCTGTCTGGTCGACTAATATCTCGATGACAATGACCCCATACTGTTCCACCTGGCACCCATGAGTCATGGGATTCATTATCTTCCTGGTTGTTCACAATGCAGGATGCTGCCAAGTGGCAGTACTATGCTACAAAGGAAGCAGCGGTGTCACAAGAATTATTTTGCGGCACTGGACTCATCCAACACATGCACCAGTTCCATGCTACATGTGTCTGAACGGTGTTCTGAAGCCACCTTGCAAGCTTCGCTTTTTGCGGAAGGCATCTGTGCCAGAGAGCTCCTCAAACTCGTTTGCTTTATCCCAGAACTTCAGCGCCTGGAAAGCTGCCTCGACACGGCAGCACAATGAATGTTTCAAGACAGCATCTTTCGAAATGCCTCAGACAAGAGCTACGTGCTGTGTCTTTGCAGGCTTCTGTTACACCCGCAGATGACCAAAAGGTCGGGAAGGCCCACCTCAGCATTCTGAAACTTGTAAGTCTTCCCCAGCTGTTTTGGAGCTTGTACTTCCAAAGCTTCCTTAGCTGATAGGCAACTTGAATGTATTGTTGCTTTCTGCCAACTCGCAATGGACGTATGTGACTGACGTGACTGTATTGCTATTGCAGCCATGACACGTCAAGAGCGAAGAAGTTGCCAAGAAAGCTGCATCCACATAGCCTGCCACGCACTACAGTTCAATCGCTCATTGGAGCAGTGCTGTAGGAAATACAACTGCGACAACTGTATGTCACTCAGATCCGACGATCGAAGGCTGCCAGCTGAGGGTTTGTCAGTGATGAAGCAGCTCGAATCTTCAACAGGGTCTCATGAGAGGGATAGTATGGCACTTGCAAGTTGAGCCGTCGAAGAGATGAGGAAACCCGAAATCTGAGTCCGAAACTCCACACCGAACTTGCAGATGCTACAGAACCTATGATTCCTGAGTTGAACGGTCCCAATCAACATACTCACTGGCCCTGCACTGCCTGTCCCATTTCTCCTCCCTATCTGGGTAATAGAAGGCGATGAGGCCCACATCTGCACCTCATCTCACGGTCAAGGAGGCTGGAGGAAGGATGCAGTCTCAGCCTAAGTCAACCTGCTACAAGCTGCATGTGCAGAAGCACTGCCAGAGTTCCATGGGGCCAGCAAGCATGCGCAAAGACTTCACTGCCTGGAGGCCTGGAAGCGTATGCAAACGATAGCTCAAGGCTCGGACCTTTGCGACCACCGGGTATGTGCTGGAAGGGGAGCGCTTTTGGTGCGGGATGTGCGCGGGCGGTGGGAAGTCCCACCAAATTTGGCCCCTGAGGACTGACGGATGCTGGAACGTCGGACTGCAGCTGAAAGCAAGAACAGTTGGTATCATTGGAGCCGTCGAGCTGAAAGCCCAGCTTCGTCGAATTATGAGCCAGATCAGGAAACAGCCAAACATGTCATGAGAGCACCCTGAAGTGAATGCACATGCGCCGGGTGACGCAAGGATTCTCCAGATCTTGCTCCTGTCGCGGCTGCTTTCGACGACAGCACCGGAGGCGCCCCAACCTTTGGCAAATCCTGTTCAGGAGACCTTTCCCCATGCTTGGATACAATGAAAAGGTATTTGGGGAGACCCGCGCCTGCTTGAGCCAACCAAGGAAGCTGCAAATGCAACAGATGCACTTTGCATCCCGTTCCTGAAACAACGAAGTTTTTGCGAGGCTACAGCACGCACGCGAACACATCACAATATGTCATGCCGCGCTTTTGGTTCATGATGGTTCATGCAACGCTGAAAGCCCCCTTGCCAAAGTCCAGGGGTCATCGCGTGGCATATCGACATTTCAGGGAACAAAGACAGGACATGATGGGGTTCCAGAATGCTGGATCACTGCTCTCAGTCCAAACGCTCCATCAATGGCATCGAATCATCTGGATTGCCGTCCTGTCCGTGGCAGCTGACACATTCATGAAGGCACGAAGCAGCACCGACAAACCTTGCAGCATCTTGCAGGACTTTCACATGATCCCATGATGTCGGCGAGGCCTCAACAACAACAAGATGAGCGCAAAGCCAGTCGCCCCAGCCGCAGTTGCGCAACATGTATCATGAATCAGCAACTTCGTCGGCCCTGCACTGCCTTACCGATGTAGTGTAAAACTTCTCTCTCACCTTCCTAAGTGCCCGAGCCTCGTCAACATCCATGCTTGCGATGTTGCTTCCCACCTGTTGCCAAGCAACAATTCCCGTTCGACGAGCTGATTTTACGCGTGCAGGACGAGACAAGAGCATGCACATTTCAGCTCGGGCTGCCCACCGGAGCGACAGCAGGCCCACGACAAAGCTCATCGCTCACTGCATTCGCAGCCGCCGCGGACTCGAGACTGGCGTACTGGTAACAGATCGCAGTTGCGGCAGTTGCCTCTCGAAGGTGTGTCTGTGCGCAGCTCGGACATGTTTGCAACTGACGGTCGCACAGGATATGCAAGAACTGAGGTCGTGTCAAAAGCTGCTGCGCCAGCCATTGAAATTGGAACGGTGCGCGGTTGACGTGCCCCCTGACACCAACCGTTGGTGAGGGCTGGGGGCCAGGGAAAAATCTAGCCACAGTGACGCTCAGACGCAAATTTCAATAGGGAACCGTGAAGCCTGCGAGCATAAATGCTGTCCGCGGTCTAGAGTTGGATGCCATTCATCAGCCTGCACACAATGCGAATAAGATCTGTAAATCTGGCCACGTATCATACGGAGAACGCAGGCAGTTGCACCCGTGCCGGGAGCTTGGACATGACACGAACGATTCCTTGTTGCCGAAGCTAGATATTGGTGGGTCTGCCTTAGATGTTGCTGATTGCAACGACAGCTACCCAGATCATGTCGACGCGGTGATGGTGCCGAAGACCATGAACCAAGCAAGCCCGCTGAGGATCACGAGGCTGCAGTATCCTCATAGCCAATGTTGCAGATATTGCCAGTATATACGGTGAACCGGTATGCTAAGAAATCTTATCAAACAAGAAATGAGACTGTCGCGCGTGCAAAAAATGATCTGAGAGTCTCGTCCGGAGCGTATAGGTTGCAGTAAACACAGCAGGGACTGTAGCCTTGGAAATTTAGGTTTTGGGTCCTGATTCTGGTGGTTTCAGGGCCTGGCAAGCTCAGGGCCGGAAATCCAACCAACCCGCCAGCCCAGAGGAACCCACTTCTGCCAGAACCAAGGCAAAATCGACACAGTCACCACGGCTCGGCCGAGACTGCTTTCCAGCGAATTTGCACCAAAATCGCTGGATTCACCGCCCGCCTGCCCAGGCCCAGCAGCCCCCACCCTGCCCTGCCAGCCCAGCCCAGTCCACAGCCCGGCAGGACAGCCCGAAACTGCTTTCCAGCGAATTTGCCGCAACGCACTCCAGCCCACAGTTTCCATCAAGATAGATTCGAAACCATTATTTGGTCAAACCCTGCGTAGGCTAGTGGTAGATCATGTGTCTCGAGAGCGCTGAGGTTGAGGTGTGTTGGCTCGATCCCCCTCGGTGTCATTTGCCCGGTTGGCCAATACGGATGAGGCTGAGCAAGTGGGCCGCAATATCCAGCAAATTTGCGGCCAATTCGCTGCAAAGCAATCTCGACCGACCTGCCCAAACGAATGGCCTAGGCCGGGCCAGGGCTGAGCAGGGCGGAGGGCCGGGCTTGCTGGGCACAAATTTGCGGCAAATTCGCTGGAAAGCGATCTTGACTGCCAAGCAGGCTGGGTTGCGGGCCATAGCTTCATTGGACAACGTATGGAGATGGGATTCACACGCGCGCACGCGCACGCGCACGCGCCCACCCACCCACGCGCCCACCCACCCACGCGCCCACCCACCCACGCGCCCACCCACCCACCCACCCCTCCACCCACCCACCCACCCACCCACCCACCCACCCACCCACCCACACCCACACGTACACACACACACACACTCTCTCTTGTTTACTTCGTGCTTCGCACGGCCCCGACTGTGCTGTGAAACGAGGATCTGCATTGGTCTTGGAAGCGTCGGGATGAACGTTATTTCATTTTATTAACTAGTGCTTTAAGGTGTCGACTTGTTGGCCAGAAATCAGGGGTGCAGTCCGCTGAACCACGCTAGGCAAGCAAGGAGCAATCTGCTGACATGGAGGAAGCACCAGAAACCAAAACAGTGAAGCGAAAGCATCAGGGCTGCACACATTGTGTGCAAACTACATCACACCGTGCTGGGTATGCCTGGATCCTGCTCGGAGGCGGCTGCGGCGGCTCCGGGTTGCAAGTCGCAGGCGGCGTAGTACACGGAGGCCGAGGAGGGGGCAGCGCCTGCTCTAGGGGCTGCGTGAGCCAACAGCAAACTGGATGTTGTACGAACATCTCCAGGCAGCCCCTCCGTGCACTTGCACACATGCACGGCTGAAGCTGAGCTGGAACATGTCCCCGGACTGAGACTATGACACATTAAGAGCTTCAGAAACCCGAAGGCCTCCGGAGACCTTCTCATCTCACGAAAAGATGATGATCTGCATCCCATCACAACCAACCCGAGAAAAACTGCGGCATGGTCGGATTTGGACAATGTTCTCTGAGATAGTTTCTTTTGCATGGTCTTACGTTCTCTCGGGTTCTTCCAGAGACGCAATTATCGCAGATACACAAGCTGTTAATGCTTGTGACCCCGTCTTTTCGACTTGATGCTGCCAGAGGAACGGCATGGAAGTGCAGGTCGGCTAATTCCATACGATGTCTTATACCTATAAATTTGTTAGGAATTAGGATTAGGGGGACCATTGGGATATAGCCCCTCCCAATGAGGTCACTTTAAAGAGAGGCAGAAGTAGGGTCAAGAAGGGTCCCCTTTGAGGGGTCTCCCTGAAACTACCTAGGAGTTGTGGTGTTTCAGTAAGTCTAAAAAGCTTAGGCGGATGGACATTTGGCATATTTGTTGTGTGCAAAGTCAGTTCACCTACTTGATGCCAAAACTGGCAGTTTCTGCCCCAGCTGGATTACATGGAAGACCCCAGCTTTTGAATCTTAGACTTCTGCTCTGCCGCACCAGACGACGCACACAGTGTGTTACATGCGCTTGCTGTGTTGAGTGCATCCTCGCCTGATGCTGGCCGCGCTCCACTGTGGGCTGCCACCGCAAGCTGCTCGCCTGTACATGTAACGTCTACAGTCACCAACGAAAACATCAGAACAATAGAATCGAACTGGTTCAGGGCTCCGACCCAGCTATGATAAACGAAAACTGGCACACGCTCCTGAAAAGCTAGCGGCTACCATCAGCTGCCCTTTCTGCTTTCGTAGCGAATCATGTGGATCGAAAGGACAGGTAGCCGGGCGCCGCAGGCATCCTATGTGGGTTCTTCAGCTTGGAAGATTTCATAACACTTGCTAGCTGCTATAGCTTCGCCTGTGATGCCAAAAGGTTGCGGGGGTTCAAGCAAGTGTGGCATGGGTTGGTTGTCGGCACACCTCTTGCGTCTTGCACTGCTCATTGTAGTGAACACATCATAATGGAGATAATGGAGATTGATCGGGGAGTCGATGGATAGAATAAAGCGTCACAAAGACCAGAAAAATCAAATCGAAATGGCTGGACTGCAAAAGACAACGAAGAGGACTCCGCGGCAAATGTGGCTCAGTTCAGCCGACCCTGCAGGGAATGCCTGGCTACATGGGAAGCGCAGCATGAAGGCATCTCTCCAGCTAGACCATCTGTGCACGCATGAATTGAGACTAATTAAGCATGAAGTCGATGTACTTGCCACGTTAGGAGGACTACCTCCGGGTGAACAGCAGACTGTTCCCGAAGCGTATGCCATGCAGATGCTTTTCCAATACACCGAGGGCGTGATTGATTTCTGCAGTGACTCACAGATGTGGGTGCGCCGGTTAAGGAAAGTTGGCAGGCAAAGTTGTGAGACCTTGGAACGGTTGGCGAACCCTAGCATTTGGTTGCGCATAAAGCTGTTATGTCAGGATGGGCCAGCTTTTCGTGACACTTGGATCTGCTCTCACCTGTGCCCGGATGCAGCCGATGAGGCGTGCCAGTATGCTGCCAATCAGGAGGCTGACAGGGGTGCGGGCGCTGTTGCCGCCCAGCTTGCGCATGCGTGGTGTCTCAACCGTCGTGTTGCGTTGCTCGCTTGTGTCGATGGCCGTTGTCTCAAGGCTCAAGAAACGCTGATGCTGCGATACGGCCCAACCCGGCAGTGCGTGCAGTGCGGGCTTGAACTGAACAGCTTCTGGCGCAGGCAGCGCCTCATTGCCTGTTTGGAGCTGCCGTGTTCCAAGGGGTATCAGATCGCTGTTTTGGGAGTCCACTGCACGCAGATGCCGGCGGTGTCGTCTCCACCGGTCAATGCATAGTTTTGCCTCTTTGTACGGGTTGAGGTCGCGGGATGGCTTGGCCATGTCTCTCATGTCAAAAAAAGGATCCGAATCTCACCAGCACCACCACTTGACTGCTACCAAGACTCAGATTCCAAGAAAGACTCGAGTGTCTCTGGATACAAAGACGATGCTGCCTGCAGATACAGCAAATTTGAAGGCCTGTCGCACCATGCCAACCTGAGAAACATACTGTGGCCTGTTCCATTTTGCGTGGCTGGCATATTCTTGGCAACGTCCTGCAAGTGGCCACTCGGCAGAACTCCAGCAACAATTATCATTGCCGCCACCTAGCTCTTGACTTCTTGACCTTAACCAAAGTCCTGCTGACTTCTTGAGTCAGGAAGGATTTGCGAACTGTCACCTGAGCGAAACCCAGGTGGCAGTGCTTAGTTTGCCACTCTGAGTTTGGGCACTGTCTGGGATGGGTGGCGGCCGGGGGGGGGAATTTGTGCATGCTCGTGAAACGGCCTGGCCAGCTCAGAAGTTTTCAAAGCCTCCGCAAATCAAGGCAACAAGCGGAACTAGCAGCAAAGTGTTGTACTTGGATCGAAAACAGTCGCAAGGATTTATTGAATTAATGCTTAAACTTGTTTCAAGCCTGCCTACACGTGCAAGTGTAGCCAAGGTGGCAGAAGCAGCACTGACCAGCCGGCGCCACTCAGTGTCGAATTTTGGCTCGTCTGCGTCTGCAAGTTTCGGCCTGTGTGCGTCCAAGAACTTTTTCCATGTGGTACCTGGCAACACCATGGAAAAGGGAGTGCCACGATCTATGCTCTATGTCACTCTATGTGCAGGCTGGCGGCCTGGAGTAAACGACTCACGGATCCACATAAGCAGAAAGCCAAGGCCATTCCTGCAGCGTCCACATCTCTGCGACGTCAAGGCGACTCAGGCTATCTCAGGCTGAACATCTGCAATTGCATCAGCCCTTCCTGCAGTAACAGGATAATACCCTGCGTTACATGTGCAGCCCGGTGCGAGCGGCAGCATGCCATCAATCCCGCATCTGCTCGAAAAAACAATCAATTGCATGCAAAGAAGCATGCCAGAGCCGTCCGCATTGTCAGACCAGAACCTGACTCCACAATGGTCGGCTCATTCGCACAGTGCAGCACCGCAGCAACATGTATAGTAAGCGAGCAAGCGAACCAAATAACAACAAAGGGAAACCCCATTCTTCTAATGTCACCTCCATTCCTTCAGAGTATGCGGTGGAGAAAGAGAGAGAAATCTACAGAGAGAGAGAGAGAGAGAGAGGGAGAGAGCGAGAAAGACAGAGCAACCCTTTGACTAGAATTATGACTGTGTTCCATGAAGGAGACGCTGGTACCCTTCGCGAGTGAAGCAACTGAATACTCGTATATGTAGAACAAAAGAAGCAGACACTGCTATTTCAGTAACAATACGCAGTTTACTATCTACATGCACAAAATGAACATGCTTTGTCTTAGCATGTACAATGACAAAAAACTAGAGAGCCCCGTCCGTCCTCACCGTACAACAAACAACAGTGCTTTTTCATTTCATTATCAAACGAAAACTCGCATACACCCACATCATTTTGTGGTATGACATTGGGAAGCTTTTGATGCCTGTTCCAACAACGGCAGGGGTGTTTCCTTGACAAGCTCTCCCCATTTAAAAACAATAAATAACACGACAATCTCCAAATAAGATATAAGGTCAAGCATATCTTTTCGACATCCACACACATAAACACGTTTCGATAATACAGCTGTTTTTCGACTACTACTCTTGCTGGTATATGTTGTTCATCTTCATCCAGGTTGCGACAATGCCGCGAAGCTCAAAGTTTCCCTCCAATGCCTAAAACAGAACATCGAAACAATGCAAGGATCAAATTTCAACGGAAATGACAAAGTCCTGACAGCTCTGGAGCGTGCATGGCCATATGCACTGGTTTTCGGAATTTGTGCGGGGTGATGCCTGCCGATGTTTTCGCACTTCAAGCTTCAACAACCTTGAGAAATTCGATCCTCGCCGATGCGTTCGCTTCGGAAGTTGCCAAGTACCGTGCCAAGCTCAAATTTCCACAAAATTCTATTGGCAACATCAACAACATTCTAACAATCCTGGTTTGCCGACTTGGAACAGCATACGTAAGCGAATGTCGCTTCATCTTTCATGCATCTATACTTTATTTGCTTGTCTCTAGTTGTCCACCTCGAAGAAGGTAACGAGATCTTCTGTAAGCTTATCTAAACTCTTCTATTGAATGCTAGATGATAAACACAATTACTAGTACGCGGTAGAGATTTGGGTGTTTGCCGTCTTTGCTACCAAATTACCTGTTCAGAGTACCGGGTTTGCAACTTATTACCTCCATTTATGCGAATAATCAACCTGCTCATGTTCTATAGTATATTTGCTAGCTACGTAAACACGTACCCCGGACATGCGTTCTAGAGGCGTAGCAGTTGCAGTACAACCGAACATTTGCCTCAAGGAAAACAACGGTGATTGCCGTGCTTGTTGTAATTCCTTGCCGGAACACTTGTGTCTCTTGTGTTCTTGGGGTCAACAGCCTCAACTCATTGTTCGCTGTTTTACTCGCGTTTGTGGCTATGTGAATCGAAAGCCTCTGCCTGGGCCATAGCCTCGATCTGTAAATCCACCGCAACTGGTGTACAGGTTGGAATCGCTGAGAATAGGTCCTGCAAGTGACCCGCCATTGCACTGTTTAGCTCCCTGAGTAGGCTAGAGCCAAGCCTCCAGGTAAAACATTCCATATTCACGACGTATCTCAACAATTGGACCCGGTTCAGCAAGGCTGAGAAACAGCTTACCCGTGTACTCATCAATCAACCGTTGAATCTGTGGACTAGTTGAATCTGTGGACTAGGCTTCTGGGAGCCTTGGAGACCAGGTTGTATCAACAAGCCTAGTTGAGAGCGATTGAGCTGCTAACGCTTCAAAGGTGGCTTGCTTGGAGATTGGCTGATGTGCCAGTTCCTTGGCTTCTGTTCCGGGAGCCTAACCCTAGACCACAAGCACCGCCATAGATCGTACATGCCCACGGCAGAAGCGTATTCCACGGTCTTTGAAGCATTGCACGATTGGATTATTGATTTGTATTACAGTATTACCGCATCAGGATTTGGTAATGGAAACGTTTTTCCCCACTTATCTTCGGAACCGCAGCAGGTGGAAGACGACGAGAACAGGGTGGAGCAAGTTTGCTCGCAGGTCCATTAAATCGTAATATCGCACATCCTTCTTACCGCGCCAATTGCATCAGGTTCATAGGATTACTCAACTGCGGTTGTTGGTATCCCTCCACTGGTTAACCCAACAGAACCGCACCACAACTTCCTGACATCCAAATCCGAGTTTGAGTTGAGCCAAAGGCTCATTCGGCATCGAACCTTCAATCAAGGATCGTGATTACAACCCACACACCTCTTCCAAGACCTGTTCACGGCTTCGCAAGGCCTAGGGCTTTGTGGTTTGTCGGGCTTTAGGGATTCATCGGGCTTCCCGACACAAGTTGTCATCCCAACGATTGCAAAGGCAACAGCTGTACCCTGGATTCTCCCGTTTGAGGTAGTGAATTCGGCTTGCGTCAGTGCCGCCAGTGCCCTCCTGCTTGGCATTCCGCCGCTGGAGTATTCCCGCATCCCTGAACATCCCAGAATGCAAACAACCAGCGGTTGAAATTGATACGGATTCGGAGCCAAAGACCTGATCGCATCATATCTGGCCCGAAGCCCTACGCAGGATCCAATGGTTGGTTGTTGTTAGTGGCTTCCACCTCTGGTGTGCTTAGAACAGTCGAAGCGCTGGCACCTCACCTTTGGTAAAAGCCAAAGGGGTAAAAAGAGTCTAAAGCCAATACGCCGGCCTGGCTTTTGCGCAAAGCAGGTAGACGGAGTCAAAAGCCAACAGGACGGCCTGGGTGTAGCATCCTTTTAAGGATATTACTGCTTTGCCCTATTGCACTCGTGCATCGTCGTTCCGGCATTGTCAGGCGGAGGCAAGATTAAGATTCGCAGGCGGCGTGCCATCTCCATACAACTTTACGAGTACCTGAATGACGGACTGGGTAGTATCGGTTCTAATGTTCACCTTTGATTAATAAATGGGGTCGGATGAATAAAATAAATATTCGGGCCGGTTCTGCCGATTGCCTTCTAGGAAGACTACAAGCCTGCGACCGGGCCCCAGATGCCCAAACAATTGAATGGGGTTGTACTAATAAAAAATTATCTCGGGCGACCCTTTTTTGGGGGGCATTTCGAGCCTCTTGTATACCAATACAGGTGACACGGCTGCGCATCCGAAAGCCACGACTTGAGCACCCAGCCACGCATAAAATCGCATGCTTATAAGCGGAATTATGATGAGCCAAAACAGCCAGCATCCGACAGGGGGGCATTTCCAGTAACATTCTTGTACTACAAACAGACACAATCCAGGCAGCGGGCAATCTAGAGCACAATCGCAACAGAATGAACCTCGACAATAACCCAGCCAGGCTCATGCCAATCATATCCCCGAAACCCCAATCGGATAGTTGTCATCCCCTTCGAAATCCAAAAACCTTTCTGCCGGCCAAAACCGCAAAAACAAAATACAACGGATTGCAAAACGGAGCATATGCTTCCTGGGGGGTAGCCCACAAGCTACAAAAAGGCAACAATACAAGGGGTTGAATAATAAATTCGTTACCCCAAAACCTGACGAAAGAATCCAGCCATTGTACGACACTCAAGCACAGTCCAGCCAACATCCGAAACGAGCACTTCCAGCACCCATCGTTTATACTACAATCAAGCACCACCAATCAGCATCCGAAATGAGGCACTTCCAATGCTAAGGTTGCACTACAATCCAGCAGAAACCAGGCAGCCTGAGGAGGCATTCCAAAAGCAATGCTGCACGACAATCAAGCACAACACATCCTGCGTCCGAAACGAGGCACTGCCAGCACCAAGGTTGTTCTTTCCATCAAGCACAATCCAGCCAGCATCCGAGAGCTGCCTCCCAGCCCGCCAAAACCGCAAAACCAAAATAAAGCGGATTGCAAAACGGAGCCTGAAACAATGCTTCCTGGGGGGTAGCCCACAAGCTACAAAAAAGCAACAATACAAGGCGCATGCAATAATAAATTCGCTGCCCCGAAAATCTGACGAAAGAATCCAGCCATTGTACGAGCTAGCATCCGAAACTACGAAAACCTGTACGACAATCAAGCACAATCCATCCAGGGTCCGAAACGAGGCACTTCCAGCACTAAGGTTGTTGGGTCCATCAAGCACAATCACGCCGCATTCGAGAGCTACCTCCCAGCCCGCCAGAACCGCAAAACCAAATAAAACGGATTGCAGAAAGGAGCCTGAAACAATGCTTCCTGGGGGGTAGCCCACAAGCTACAAAAAAGCAACAATAAAAGGGGCTGCAATAATAAATTCGTTACCACGAAGACCTCCTGACGAAATAACCCATCAATCTGTCCTGTGCAGAGCTTCTGCTGCACCTTAATGTTGTTCTACAACCAAGCACATTCCAGCCAGCATCCGAAACCAGGCAGTCAGTTCCAGTACTCATAATTGTTAGGACAACCACAATCAAATCAGGAATTCAATCTTCCAGCATTTGCTACTGTTGTAACACAACTAACAGCATCCGAAACGAGGCATGCCCAGCACCAATGCTGTACTACAACCAAGTTCAACCAAACACAATCCAGCCAGCATCCGCAGAGAGGCATGTCCAGTACTGAACATGTACTCGAGTTGTCGAGTTTGAGATGCTGTGGTGCGACAGTCAGTGCAGGGATTTAGTCTGTGTTTGGACGGATTTCGTGTGTATTTGCACGGATTTAATATGTATTTAAACGGATTTAGTGTGTCTTTGCACGGATTTAGTGTGTATTTGCACAGGCTTAATGCTTATTTAGTGTGCATTCGCAGGATGTAGTGTGTATTTGCATGGATTTAGTGTGTAGTTGTACAGATTTAGTGCGTATTTGCAGGGATTTTAATGTGTATTTGCACTGATTCAATGTGCATTTGCGTGGATTTAGTGTGTATTTGCCGTGATTTAAGGTGTATT